CCGCCTTGTTCGGCTTAATTTTACACACGCACAGAGCGGCGGCGGCGCCCCGCGCGTCGAACTGCGCGACACGACGCGGCGGGACGAAGCCCGCGCTGACGAGGGTGTATCACCGCTTTGCCGCGCTATCGAACGGAAAGCCGCTGCCGAAGTTTGTTGAAGGCTGCTTGATTGCCGAGGCACCACGAGTTGCCAGGGACAGGGCAGAGGGCAGGCGTTCGACCAGTGTTAAACCGAGTAAGAACATGCTTTCAAATTGCTTGCTATAACATATTGTAAAGGGTGATTTCGTCGTAAAAGCCGGCATGGATATATGCTTCATGTATTAATTTTTTTATTTGTAAAATTTTTGCCTATAGCGGTATATATTCGAGCAATTCCGGACTAGCAGTGAAACAAAATAAATTCGCGTGCTTTGAAAAGTTTGTCGAACTTCGAACTGTACTGATAAACTTTTGGATATCCTAAGCCAAGTCCGGAAAAACACGAAAGGTGCATTAGACTAGCTCTGAAAATGAGCAGGTGAAGTTCCTTTCGAAATGACACTGAATGATATTGAATTCCTATCTCCCACGAATACAACAGAGATAAAATGTTGAGTGTTTTAACACGTTATCTTAAACCAAAAATAAATTTGCAAGAATAAATAAAGTAAATATGAGTCTGGATTGATGTGATGGCCATATTCCAATAATATTTGTTCGCATAAATGAAACAAATGAAATAAGAGGATAGCAGAAGGTTGAAACATAAGTAAAAAAAATATTGTGGAATGGAATTATGGAAAAAATGTAATAATAAAATTCTGCCTAAATTTCCCTGTATTATAAACTGGATTGATCTTCTCAACATCTAATTGTAAGGTACCTACCTTGGATACGGACCTCTGCGATAATTCCTCAATAATTCAACTGACACCAGAACATAGATTCCAGCAAGGCCATCAACAACAATCTGTAAAAAATGTTAAATACTTGGTTATCACTTATCATAATATAGTTTTTCTGCAAAAATACTACGTAAAACTGTTCAAAATGAGTCCGTTAATAATTTAATACTTATATTTATTAATACAAGCTTGGCATCGCACACATTTTCACCTACAAATTGTCATTGATTGTCATATTAATAAATTTACTAATAATTTTAATGTAAAATAGATTGTAAATTTACATTGTTCAGAATTTTTAAACACGGTCTCGCACATCTAAAAGAAAACAGTTATAATCAAAAAGTTACAATAAACAATTCTTATAAGCCTAATCAACATAAAAAATAAATTATTTATTGTTGCCTTTGAAGTATAGTGTCAACTTCCCTAGAAGAGCTGTTTACATGAACTAATACTAACAGTAAATCTTATGCGCTAAACTGGGAAAATGCCATACATTTTAACGCTTGATGACTCTCGTGCGTACCTAAAAACCCACTTTCCATTAACTCTCCTTCAACTTAAAAAAAGAGTCTTCTCCTGCATCTGGTGAGACGGGTTTCAGTTTTTACGCGAAATTCAAGGCGTCGGCGTTGATGCATTGCAGCAGTTGTGCAAATATTATACGTCGAAATGAGGTAATCCCGACAAGAAACACGCTGCCGCAGAAAACATGACACATAGAGAAAATCGCTCCGCGGCAAAATACCAACATTAATTTCCTGAGGAGCAGAGGGACAGGTCAAAATGTTGTTAAGATCAAAAAATTAAAAAGAATAATAATAAAAGAGGAAGGATGGAAGGCATGTCGCGATGGCCAGCACGCCCCAAGCTGGTGTTTTGTTTGCCTCCAGGAAAAGAGTTTAAAAAGTGTTATGACGTTTCTTCATGAGGGTGAGTAACTTGTCTTTCCTTTTTTGCCGGCCTGTGCGGCGCGTGCGTTTTTTCGGAGACAGGTGCTGGCGCGCGCGATGCCGCGGTGGCGGCGGTGGTAGTGCCCGCCGCCCCCCACCTTGGCTCTAGGGCACGCGGGGGGCACGGGGGGGTCGCATGCCTCAGCCGCCACCGGGAGTTCACGAGGTCGGAAATCTCGTGCCCTTTCGAGGACGTCGTCGCAAGGGGGGAAAGGCTCATGTTTAATTCACGAGTGCTGAGTGTCCGGACTGATCTGATGATGATATGTTTTCAATTGGTGCACCCGAAAATTAGACAAATGAATGAGGAAGGAGAAAAGGATTCATAAATAAAAAGCTCTTTGTAGGATAACGAGGACTCAATTTTAAGGTTGAACACAAATCGCGCACCGCCTAAATTGCAAATATTTTCACAGATAATTGTACGTGTAATAAACTTATTACATTTTTCACAAATCGCAGCGAATTATTATTCTTAATCCATGAAATCATTCCTCGTTTTGAAAAATTATTACTTTTATGTATAATAAGTAATAACGTGTAAATTGAGAATTTTATTATTTTTGAACGAAAATGTTTTCGATTAAATAAATTCCTGAGAGATTCAATATTATTTTTTTAATGATGAAAAGTATAGAAAGGTGATGGGCCAGACGTAAAAGGTAATTTTAATTCCAGAATTATTACGACCAACCATTAAGATTTTTTGCAACTGCATCGACAATTTCATCGCGAAATGCATCATTCATAATACATTGTATTGTAACTACTTTTAAGAAATACTTTGAACAGATGAACCGTCGCAATCTTTCTGTGTTTGCTGTGTGATGAGTGACATACTCATTTCTAGAGATTGGCAAGGAAATAGGATTATGCCGTTATGAGCTCTCCTTTCCCGGGCAGGTGATTACAATGGCGCCTTTCCCCTCCACTGGATGGATGATGGCTGGGGTGATCTCGAAGGATGAATGATGATGACAAATGTCTAAGGACGCGATGATGTTCATTTAAGCTACTTCAATTTTATGAGAAGGTCTCCACGTTACAAGTACACAGTGAGGTACACGGAACTCGAACCCACAGTCTTGGCTCCGGGTACGATATTCGAAGTCCTACACCAGCAAGGTCGACAATCTTCCTGCAACGCCCAGCAGCTGGGAGATCGGCCGGCCAGGGGTCAGTGCGACAGGAA